TGTAGACAAAACATCGGATACCCCCATCTGGTTTAGCCCATCGGCCGGGGTGGTTGCCGGGGAGTTACCGCTAGACGGGACCTAGTTTTGGTGAGATACAGATGAGAGTTAGGTGAGAGTTAAGGGCCATGAGGAGTGGTCACCATCTGCGTGGTGCGACCCGCCAACCATGCACGGATGCCCCACAGCTGGACATCCCCACATATATACACACACACACACACACACACACACGACAGTTCGACCATCGATTTCGATGACATGCACCGAGTGCTTCAGAGTATGCGGGCGCAAGGACGGTGACTTACTGTGCATGACCGATCTGATGAAATGTTGGCCGAAACATCGAAATGCGTTTTCGATTGGGAAAGATTACTTAGGTGGGGTTGAAGTACTGCTTATCAAACGACATAATCCCATAGCATTTCAAACTCGCCAGGATATCGGCCTTTGAATGCAATTTTTTCGACCTCCTATAGAAGCCACACTCGGTGAAAAATAACTACTTAAGTAGCACGTGTTTTTCACATTGGTTTTCGATGTTCCTATAAATTCAAATATTTTTTATGGAAATCATGCACAAAAATATGCCTTCTTTTATTCGTTTAGTAGAAAATATCATTGTCTTTAAATTATATATGCGGAGATAGCATATATTTGGGATCTAAAAAGTTTCCATATCCCTCAATAATTTTGGGCCAGATCAGCCGTTGCATTACCATTCGGCGATTCCAGTCTACAAGGCGCATGCTTTCCGCATAAGAAAAATCATATATTCCTCCATGCCTTTAAGACGATACCGTGTTGAGTTCATGGAATTTTGTAATGGATGTAGACTATGTTGTGCGCTGCAGGAGGAACATTGGTAAACGGAGATGTGCGACGCTATGTGTGTAGACATCGCACGGTCTTAAAAATCTCATAATTAGAAACTTTTTGAGAACCCAAATATATGCTATCTCCGAGTATATAATTTAAAGTCAATGATATTTTCTACAAAACGAATAAAAGAAAGCATATTTTTGTGCATGATTTCCATAAAAAATATTTGAATTTATAGGAACATCGAAATTCAATGTGAAAAATACATGCTACTTAAGTAGTTATTTTTCACCGAGTGTGGCTTCTATAGGAGGTCGAAAAAAATTGCATTCAAAGGCCGATATTCTGGCGAGTTTGAAATGCTAAGGGATTATGTCGTTTGATAAGCAACGTTACAACCCCATCTAAGTTATCCTTCCTAATCGAAAACGCATTTCGGTGTTTCGGCCAACATTTCATTCGATCGGTCACGCACTGTAAGCGCAAATTAGTTGAGTGATAGCGGATTTACGTTGCACTTATGAAACTTTCCCCTCATCACTAACCTAGGTGCGGTGTCATAACAAAGTCAAGAAGGGGATCGGACGCAGGTGTTAAGCAAATCGTAGGCCTGAGCTTAGGCGTGCCATCACACCATATGTGGAATTTTTTACGGATGCGCATCCCAAATAACGTCTGGCGTGCTCTGATCTGGCTTCCCGTTCTGGTTCACTTCGTGGCCCGTTGTAGAGGGTCGAACGTATACAACGCTTCGGACGTCGTAACCGACGATGTCCACCTTGTTCCACAGCAGAGTGAGAGTAGGGACGATGACTCACGCTGCATCTACCGCACTCTCTCCTCCTCCCAACCTGGGCTCCGTGTCAAGATTGAGCCAAGGAGACCGGAGATGGGAGAGGGCACAGGCGGTTGGCGTGGCCGAAGCTGCACCTAGGCGAGCCGTCACACCTGGCTCGGAGCCCACGGAGTGGGAGTATCATAAAGGCCACATTAAGAAGGAGCCACTGCAGCCTGACTCTTATACCACCAGCCGGCCACTCCAAACAAACACACAACACTGGGTTGACTGAGAGGTCCAAACTATCCCGTCAGTTGGTAACCCTCCAAGCCATGGCTTTTAGCGCACTATGGTGGCTTCAAGCTTGTCAGATTGTTTGTAGTGAGGAAAGTGCCCTGAGCCGTCAACCTTATTATCCCTTCCCATTCCCTGGCCCCGAGTCACTGTCCGAGCCGGTCTGCTGACAGATAGGTGCGGGGAATGGGTGCGGTGGCTGACATATCTAGTGACCTTGTTTGCGCACGCCACATGAACGACCTGGTCCTCCAAACACATGCACCAGGATTTTACACAACTGAGGTTGAGCGTCGTACATCTCACATGCATGAGAGTGCCGTAAGTCACGTTAAGAAGGAACCGCTTCAGCCTGGCCCTTAGCTTACCAGTCCGCCACTTCACACAAACACACACTACCTGGCTGACTGCGTGGGCTGAGTTGGGGCGTTAGTCGGCAGCCTTATAAGCCACAGTGCCTGACGCACCGTCATAGTCTCAGGTCCGGATCATGCATGCAGCACGCGAGTCGCACAGAGATAAAGTCGAGAAGCACACTTCCCACTTGCGTGGGAGATGGCAATTGAGTGCCTACGAGGGATTGTGTTGGTTGGTGAAGGTTTAATGGTGGCAGTTGATTACCGTAGCTTTCTGTGAATGCGCACGTGGGTGAAAGTGCGTGTGCAGTGAGATAGTGGAGACGGATGCGGGGAGTGTATGTTTGTGTTCCAGGCACAAACTCGCCAGTCTCCGTGCGACGGATCCGTAAGTGATCGACCAGGCCGGTGGGTGAGGGCAGGATAGATCGGCAGTGTCCGTATCGGCTACGGTGATGGAGCTGCTAGTGATGAAAGGAGGGATACGGGTTGAGCTAGGCATGGTGGTGGTGCAGGATGTGTTAGTGTTATCGTGCCTGCGGTGAATTCCCCCTCGTGAATAGGCACTTGACCTAGAAGGCCCGTGCAGTGAGTGAATGTGCGGGGGCAGTGTGGACCATGAAGACGGATGCGGCGAGAGTGCGTGGGTTCGCCAGTCTCCGTGCAATGGACTCCAAATGACCGGCAAGGCCGATGTGTGGAGTGAAAGTGCGATCGCATTTTGACGTACTACCACACTCCCTTGGTCCATAACAGACACTTGACCAGGATTTCCAACAAAGAGAGGACGACTCAGGGGCCTATAGACGCAGCTTGAGCCCGCAAATTGGTGCCACTATACCCTAAATATTGACATTTGTTATGGGTGCGCATTCCCGATAACGTCCGCCGGACTCTGATCTGGCCCCTGTGTTGGTCCAGCGCATCTTCCACGCGACCCGTTATAGAGGTACAAACACTGCTGACATATGATCATTCCTGCTTGCGAATGTGGGCCTCGCTTCCGTACACCTTGTTGGTTCAAACTTATCCAGTCTGGGGTAGCACTGGTCAATGTCAGCAAGCCAGTCGCAAATCGCTGTTCGGTGTCCCGACCGTAATTTTTAGCAATAGCCATTGACGATTATCTCCCGTTCCCATCCCTTCTCTTGTAACCAGGATAGACCTCGTGTGACTTCGAGTATTCCCGATAGCAGCAAATAATGCGTAGCCTATGTAATGGCCCCAACCAGCTGACTTGGGTACAGATTTCAGGCTTCCCGGGTCTACGGTTGGAGCATGGTTGGTTAATGATGAAAAAGGCCTAGAAAGCTCATTGTGCTCTCTCTCAGCTTTATCTTTTATATTTATATAACATGCCACCTACCCAGGCCACCCGAAGATAAATAATTAACCTCAAAATGGGACTGAAACTTGATATATTTCACCAGCTGCTGCTAGAAGGGGTTCCTGTCAGCTCAACGTACCAAGCCGTGCACTGTAGGTGGCTAGTGAACACTTGACCCCTAGAGCTTTAGACAACTTCTGGATGGCTACTAGCATAGACGAAAGGCCGGCAACTGGAAACGGAACATTGCGCAAAAACATCCTTTTCTGATGCTAGACAGTCGCAAAAAGTCGTGAACAATTGCTCGAAGACCGCATAAACGGTTTTGAGTGGAACTAACAAGGGAGCACAAAATACGGAGTTTTCCACAGGCTTGGCAGTTGCGAAATCTATGAATGCCATTAAGGGGAACAACTGGTGAGTAGGATATCCGCTAGAACATGTTAGGCATTTAACGTTTTCTTCAATCAGTTTGACCCTGACAGACCACTGGCACATGGAAGGGAGGAGATTGATCCAGATCAAATCTGGCGTCTAGCTTCCTCACGATGAACAACCAAATGTGCTCTTAAACTATCACAATGTACCAAGTCATCGCTTGGAGGGTTGATAACTGCAGGATAATTTGGTCCTCCTAGTTGCCAAGAGTTTCATAATAGAGCCCCCTTGGAATTATAATTTAAATGAGTTCTGAGACACTTTTCTTCCCCTTCTGAGGTCTGCTTCGCGTGAAATTAGGGCTTAGGCAAGGCGTGGCAACGTTGACGGGTTATTAAGCTTTTTCAACCACTGCGTCAACGCCCATCTCCAGTTATCCAGCCTCCATTTCACCACTGGAGCACGGTGCGTGCGGGGAAGGCGCTGCAGAGGTCCACCTAACTATGAACACATTCCAGGACAAATCAAAGCCGAGCCCTTTTCAAGACAATCCTGGCGGCCGTTGCTGGCGTCGATCGAGACTTCACATCTGAATATTCAGTTAGGACAAAATTGAAGCGGTAATGAAATGAGATGAAGTATAAAAAGAAGCATAATTGCCACAAACTGTGTCCGAAGGGCAGAAAACTAAAAAAAAATATGCACAGGGATGGTCACGTGGGAGGAAGGGGAGGGGGGGGGAGAGTAGGTGAAGTATTCTGCAAATGCACAACAGGCTGAGAAGAGCGAATGCGATGGTGATATAGATCGAAAGTTATTGCGAGCTGAACCGTCTCAGTGAATGGGAAAACTGGCATAGGGATGGTAAAAGGGACTGCAGTCAGCATTGAGGGAGGCTCATCACAGTTCTCCTTATGGGCCTAAATACTACCGATGAATTGTGCCCGCCCACACTCGGCGTCTTTACCTCCATCGGTAGCTTTGCTTCGTAGGGTTTATGAAAAACCGAAATTCAGGCCGCACTAGTTGGGGAGAGAGACGCGTCTTACTGTTCTCCACGACCACCACGGCCGCCATCGGAACTCCGAGTGTGTGCAGAGGAAGTGTGCGGACGCGACCTCCGTCGCTGAAAACGCAAAATAAACGAAGCGGAACGTCAACTAGGAGATAGGGTTGTGAAAGCATGCCCGATGTAGGTAGTATATATGGTGGATGCTAGAGCAAGGGCTGACTTGGGAGGTGGTTACTTGACTGAATAATTCGAATCACAGATTATCCAAAAACAAAGGCTTGATAGAGGTCCTGACGGTAGTAATAATCAAAGGCGGTAGAGAACTGTGCTGTTCTCTTTTTCCTACCGGTATGCGCGGAAGTTGAAATGTCACCACCATGTCCAGTGCGATCCCCGGCGCCAGAAGACAGTTTGTAAGGCTTAATCGGGCAATGATAACTTGACCTGAGGTTAAAAAAATAGTTATCCTTTCTGCGAGGCCTTGCCGTCGGTCACACTGTTCAAAACCTGGCTCATGTTGAAGGTTATACGGCAAGTGGTTAAATAGATGAAACGCGGTGGTTGAAACTCAGATAGTCAGTGGGAGGTTTCTTGGAAGTTACACATTTTATGCACTACATAAAGCGTTGGGTAACACGTCCTATTTTACAGCTAGATGTACTTTTTCACGACAGTTAGGGTGAAAAACGTTACTTCTTTATATCCACACGATGTGCAGTGCAACCAACTAACGCAAACCGCACCTGCGTGCTTATGGGCATTCCTCTGGGAGAGACCAGAAGTTTGGGTGAAATATTTTCGCGGACTGGGAAATCGATTTTTAGTCAGTGCAAATTGGTTGACGCCAAATGTCCCTTTCGGCTTCAAAGGTACTGTCTGTAAATTTATGGAGCATGTTGTCTTAAAACACGGTAATAATGAAAACAGGTTATCTTATTTTGCCGCCAGTACGAAACTTAAAAAATGAGCGAGCCGTGTTACCAATCTGAAAACTATCCTCATTTGTACTGAACAGCTCTGCAGTAATATTGAAAGAATAGACAAAGGTCTTGAATTAAGTAAAGACAATGGAAACGGTAAAAAAGAGAACGGAACAACGTTTGTTCTTCGTCTGTTAAACAAAAGTACTCATGTTACTTTCGATGTTCTTTCTTATCCACTTTTATTTCTGAGCCTATTTTGAGAATGCATGAAGGCGTGGGCATTTATCTACGAAACACCGTACCAGGGCAATCTTTAAAGCGAAAACCAGTTACATCGAGAAAACTGCCAGTGCGGCCCTTGTCATCGAAGTCACTTTGACTTAGGTTTGTGATTTTTACGTCGGCATACAAATGCGACCCAAACCGCCGTCTGCGGTGGCACACTACAAAGGCAGGAGTTTTCGAAGGTCGACAGCCCTGATGAAAATAAAGTGCGGGAAATTGCTTGTTTAGGCGACCAGTGGAGGACACTGGACAAAGCAAAACATTTACTGACATTTTACGGGTTTTTGCGACTCAACCACTTTCACCACTGACACAAAGAAAACAAGGCTTCGTTGTTTAAAAAGTCCAGCTTATGCACGGAACATAGCAAGTTCATTTGCAAACAATGTCCCAGTTTTTTAGGCCATGGCCAGCCTCTCAACAGGTGACTTTGCAACGAATTTTATTCCTACGACCATTTAACGGAGAAATTAGGCAAATTGATTTTCCTGACCAAGAGAGCGTTGAGTATGGCCCTCGAAGACTGATGTGCACTGGCACCTGACTCCCTGTCGGTAGATGCGTTTGTGCTCCCGCTAGGTATACAAAATGTGGGCATGGCTACCTAGTCATCCTCGTCCTTCAGACCCCCTGTTGGGGTGTTTTTGTCGGTGAAAAATCCTGGTCAAGTGTATGCTGTGGACCAGGGGTTGGCTGGCACGCTCAGGTGCTGGTTCGACCGTTTCAGTCACCTGAGCCCTTCCGAGCCTTCGGTCTTCTTCATTCTGTCTTGACACCGGGTTCATGTGGGGTGTGAGGAAGAGAGAGAGTGCGGTAGGTACTATGCAAGTCTACTATCACTGTAAAGCAATTCACGAGCAGGCCACCGCACCTGCTGCAAGTAGCTGCACCTAGCTGTGTAGCACACAATGGACATCATCGGAATCGACGGTCAAACTGGCATCTGCCATGCCATGATCAGCAAACCATGGTCCTCGCAGCCTGCTTTGCGTCGGCAGTTCTCTGGCACCTGGCTCCTGCCCGTAGATGCGTTTGTGCTCCCGCTGGGTATACAGCATGACCGCCCGGTCACCCTCGCCATCTTTCTGAGCCGTTTGTGGTGATGTTGTTGTTGGTTAAAATCCTGGTCAAGTGTTTGCTGTGTGGACCAGGGGATGTGGTGGCACACCTAGGTGTGGGTCTGGCCTTGCCAGCCACCTTCGCCCTCCTTCACCTCCGGTCTTCTTGACCATGTCTTGACGTCGGGCCCAGGTGGGGATGAGGAGGGAGTGCGATAGATGCTGCGCAAGTCGCCGTACCTGCTTCATCTTGCTGTGAAGCACACGATGGACATCGCCGGGTACGACGGTCGAACTGTCAAACCCTCGGCAAGGAAGGACAACTGAGGTAGTTTGGACAAGTTCTTCGTCGCCGGTCCCATGAATTTAGTGTACTTCCCACCTGGAGGCGGGAGAAGTGGTGATTACTCCAAAATCCGGCCCGACACAGCCGCTCAAGACAATAAGTGGTTCTCGGACCTTCAGTACTGGGTTTCCGTCGCTGCTGGAGGGCACAGATAGAGATCTCCAGGTGCGCTACTGCAGATCTTTAAACGTGGAGAGGTACAGTTAACGACATCATGGAACCTGTCCGTACTAGGCACTATCACTGTTATCAAACATAAGTTGACAGGCAGTTAGTAAGAATTTCAGAAAAGTCTTGATACATGTTATTGGTGGCATCCGTGAACGCCAGAGGGACACAGCAAATTATCTGGTTGATGATGATGCGTGGTCATGTTCAAGTGATTTATTTCCAAAAGTGTCCACCAAATTTCGGTGCAAATTAGTATCGGTCTTAAAAATTAACACGGGAATGATGATTTGTAGCGATATTCCACATGTATTTTCATTTAAGCATGGCACAAAAACAGAAGTAGTTTTATTCTCCAGTTTAGTTCAGGCAACGACTTAGTTAAAACTGCAAACTGTTCTGCAGAATCACTTCACTTTCAAATCTGTCATAGAACCCTCTATAAGAGAGAGGCTTAAGCAGGTCACGTCTGGCAACAGATATCGCCATCTAAGGAGTCCACCACAATTCCTTGAAAGGCCTTAAAATGTGGTATCCGCCCAATCATGTACAGTAGGTGGGCTAACTCACGAAATGTCAACCGAAATTCCGAAATGCGTTTTCGTTCCCAAAAAATTAATTAAGTAGGGTTGTAAAACTAGTCAGCCTGCAACATACTTCTATAATATTTCAGGATGCCTGCTTTCGAAAGAACTTCCTTCCGGCTGCATGCAAAAACTACACTGTAAAAAACGACTGCTTAAGTAGCATGAATTTGTCTCATTTATTTTCGATGCCCCCAAAGTCCAATTATATTTCATGGAAAACATGCATAAAAATATTCATTCTTTTGCTCATTCGGCAGATAATTAGTCTTTCTAATTTTATACTCAAAAGGAGGGACATAATTCGGTTTTAAAAAGTGCCCCCATTCCGGAATAATTTTGAACCCGCTCTGCCGTCACACTTGGATTCAGGGTCTCCAAACTACAAGCCGCATTTTTTGCGTACGGAAAACCACACATTTCTCTACGCTAATAAAGAGGGACCATACAGGGTTCATAAAATTACGCAGTGAATTTAATCAATATTCATAACTTTACGAGACACATTGGTAAATGCACAGATATGTTCGGTCATTTCACGGTATTTAAAAGTCCCACGATTATAACTTTTTTTAAAACGGAGTATAAAATTAGAAGACGTAATTATCTACCGAATGAGCAAAAGACTGGATATTTTATGCATATTTTCCATGAAATATAATTGGATTTTTTGGGGCATCGAAAATAAATGAGACATATTCGTGCTACTTAAGTAGTCGTTTTTTTAAAGAATGTAGTTTTTGCATGCAGCCGGGAGGGAATTCATTCGAAAGTCGGCATCCTGACATAACTGAAATATTATATAATTATGTTGCAAGCTGACTAGGTTGACAACCCTACCAAATTAATTTTTTCGAAACGAAAACGCATTTCGGAATTTCGGTTGACATTTCATGAGTTAGCTCACCTACTGTATGGCCTAATGCCTAAAGAGCTAAACGAACTCCCACAGCTGACTAGTTTTACAACCCTACTTAATTAATTTTTTCGAAACGAAAACGCATTTCGGAATTTCGGTTGACATTTCATGAGTTAGCCCACCTACTGTATGACCTAATGCCTAAAGAGCTAAAAAAACTTCCACACCTTGATTATTTGTTGAGAAGGAAGGAGGGTACAATGACGATCGGTAACAATCGTAAAGAAACCTAGAAACGATACAAAAGTGCATCCGCAACATAACGGAGGTAACTGTTCAAATTGGTCGTCAAACTCGAGAACAAAATGGCCAGCGGGGTCTTAATCAAACAGCTGCGGCGTGCGTCGGGTAAGCGATCGGAAAAAGGTCGTGACGCTTTGCGCATACCAGAACGCAAAGATATCGACAGGACGTCCAGGCAGAAAACGGCCTACGTGCTGGAAGCACGCGATCGCGACAAAAACGGGTCAACCTACCTCGGTGTTTTTTACGAGCTACAACTAGAGTGTTGCGTCGCATGAGAAAAGGCGACGTTCACACGCGAAGGGCTCGTTAAGTGCAGGCACACGCCAGATCGCAAGAAAACAGCATGGATAAATAAAGGGGGATGTTGCCACTGTGGCCGTTTGAAGCGAAACTACTATTGGTGCGTGGTTGTAGTCCGAGCAAGAAAATTGCCCCATTCACCAAGTCCAATTAGAGTGTGCGGAACATAGCCCCCTGGTGATTCAAAGGCCAGTTGACTTGCAGCCTGTCAGACAGCATTCGTGTGTGTGTTGATGTGTGTACATCTTCATCCCCCCCCCCCCTCCAACGCACCAGTCCAGGATTCCTGGATTGCGTTGGACAGAGAGTGAAACTCCATTTAACGGTGACAAGCTTCGCATGTCGCAACACCACTTAATTGTGACCTTGTAATTGGAAACCAATTACCTAGCTTCTTGTTGGATGGAGGCTTCAAGCCCCCTCAGTAACTGTGCCTCGTCTCATTTTCAGTCAACCTGGCTCAGACTTGCCGCCGGTCGGATCTAGCTCTCACTTTTCTCACCACAAAACTCATTGGAAGTCCTATAACGCAGCCTAAGGACAGAATAATTTGGTCCGCCTTTGGAAGAGGGACTAGGCTGCAATGGATGTCTATGGCCTTTAATGACACTTAGGCGAGATGCCAGGGGTGGGCAGGTGGGTGGTACATAGAAGCGTGGATTCAACCTTGCCAGCCTCGGCGTCCGGGTCCATCCCCACTTTTATTAACTTGGGCTTGTCGCTGTGCGTGGTTTAATTTGATCTCAAATCCTTGACCGCCACAAATTGGTGACCCCGAGGTGATCGAAGCGCAATCTCCAAACGTGGCTGAACTCAACCGCCACAAAATTCCCACTCAACTTCGCTCTCCTGTCACTCATCGTGCCCATGGATAGGAAAACGCAATTGCGTCACACTGCGTCACCCGCATGTACACTGCGTCCGGGTCCATCCCCGGTCTTATTATCTGGGGCTTGTCACTGGAGTGTAAAAGGCGTGAAAAGGAAGATACTGCGGACGTCAGCCCTACCATAAACAATTTTACGGAAGAGTTGCTAGTACGCCTTCTCAGGGACAGTAGTGGTACTCGACATTTGCGAAAGATCGGCGGAGTACACATGGGGGGACGGCTAGTTTTGTTGGACGAATTAACTGTCCGCTGAACCTGCGTTAGAACGGACTCACTCTCCCTCGCCGCTTCGTAGTCAACGAGAAATTCAAGACAAACTGACCGCAAATGAGACTGGATGCGGCCGCTGACAGTGCGTGGAGCCTTTGTCTAACACAAAAGGTGCGCAACTCGTCATAACTGAGGCTGGCAAGCTTCGTCACATTCAAAACGTTGCCAACCGATGAAATGGCTCGGTCCCCCCCCCCCCCCCCCCCCCCCCCCCCCCCCCCCGATATGGGAACAGGCTGCCATGGCTTTTTGCTCATGTGGTCTTTATGACGACTTTCGCCGGGAAAGATCCGAGCACCTGTGTCACAAAAAATATTATCCTCTACCCTTTCGGAGTCACTCTCGAAGGCACTATCAGAGACAAAAACAGGTAAAGGTGGCAGATACACATAGTTCGGTATTTATGAGAGGCGGAGCAACGCCACCACATAACTGCTATAATTAGTAGCTGTCACATTTATCGTGGATGTTCATACCTGTTGTGATAATGACTTGGCCGTCCGCGTTCCAGTCGTTGGTACGATAGCTCCTCAGCCATTACGCTTACCAGTACTGTCACTGGAAGAGGCTCTGACCTACTATTTCCATACGTTAAAAACTACTCCGTCCAGGTAGTGTAGGCGCTAAACAGGGATGGGGAAGGTTACCACACTTTTCGGTGAAAAGAAGGTCGAGGAACCATTACTCAAGCAACCCGGACTGGTGTCGTCGCCAATTCTTGCGATGTCCTCGACCTCATTGAACTTGAGGGTGCGACCAGGTCATGTCGAGTGTGACGTGACGAGAATTGGCGCCATTCCTCCACGGTGCCGGTGCGTGTTCGGCCATCGTCATCCGAAGTACCATTACTTGTGAAACAACGACAAGACCATACTCCAGGGCTTCCTAACTACAGCTACTCCAGCCTACAACTACCAACCTCAATACGGACACATGAGTAATTCTGTAACTTAGGAAAATTAAACTGACAAGTCGGCTTAACAGGATACTCACCCGTCCCGAAGCTCGCTGACTTGGTGCTTTTGTTCCTGAAGAGGTGAGAGGGACATAGGCAGGGTCGGAGGTGGACCCGGCAGGCGCTGGTGAAACCTCCGATACAACGTAAGTTGCGTTGTTCGAGGAGGCGGTGGAGGAGGTGGTAGAAGTAAGGGATGAGGAACAAGTGGAGTGAGCACCGATGTCGGCCGGCCGTTCATCCGGTGAGGCAGTCGAAGTATGTGTTGGCAAAAGGCCTGTAGCGGAAACGCCGACGCCATTGTTTTGACTGCGACGACGTCGACGGCGCGCAGACCGGATCTCGGACGACGGGGCGGATGAAGTTGAAGTGGTGGTTGTGGCAGTGGTCATCGGGGTTGTCCCCGCAGCTTCGTGCGTTCGTGGAGGCGGGGTGGTAACAATGGGTGGGGGCTTGAGCTCCTCCAGGCAGGATGGACATGTTAGAGAACGCATCAACCAATCATCTATGCAGGCTCGGTGGAAGGTGTGCATGCAGGGCAGATAACGCAGCTCGTCACCAAGCTCGTAATCACACATGCAAATCACGCACCTAGTGTGTGTGTGGGAGAGGACGGACAGAAAGATGACTATTCAAGACGAAAGTATTGGTATAACAGAAGGAGTATTACTGGCAGAGGTAAGCAGTGTCCCGAAATCATTTACCTCTTTTAAGCGATTTAGGACGGACTACTACACGCCGCATACATTAAGCCTGACTTTCAACGCTCTTAGGTTGTGTCAAAACTGCCCGTATTTTTAAAGCAGGATAAATCAATTGGGATTCGATATCGGTTTAGGAAGGGTGTTTTCGCAAACTGTCAGAGTCACATGAGAGTTGCGTCCGACAATCTATCCGGATCGCAGGACAGAAATTTCCTTACCTTGGAGATCCGAGCAAAGGGATTTCAAATTATGGAGAAATAATATGACCATGAATTATTTAAAACACCAAAAGACCCTTTAGCTAACAGCAACATTGAAGATAGCCGAAGACTGGCTGAAGGTGGGGTCGGACACAGACAATCGCCTCAATCCTTCGCGTGCCAAGGCATACATACCTATACCGGGTGCGCCGACACCGCAGTAAACCTTTATATGGTTTCGTTTGCTAGTCGAAACGGTTACGGAGGTGTAGGTGACAAACTCAACACAGCTCTTTGATGCCCCATATTATATTTGGCGGTTACGCGAAGTCGGGGCGAAACGGCTACCTGCCACAGTCAGGTCCTTGGTGCGACGGTCATTCCACAAAAGTAATTACCTCTTACAGGGCACTCCATAAACCCCAAACCAAAAATAACCCTCAAACATTATGCATACCCAAATGTCGTAATCTTGGTGCGACCGTCATTGCAGTTAACCTGGCTAATGGTGGACAAATGAATTTTCTAGTTGACAGAAAGAACAAAAATAAGATGTTCCTGGTGAATTTTCCGCATATTCCGATCTAAACACACTTCAACCTTCTATAATTGTCGAGTTTTTTCGTAGAAATATAGAACAAAGCATTGGATTGTATTCGAAGGACATGCATGCCATATACTGACTTACTTGTACTTGATACGGCTGCGATCATGCCTGATCTAGCCGGCCTCGATGATGTCCCGAACTGTACCTCTCCACGCGTGACGACCCGCGGCAGCAGATCTGGACAGCGCAACCAATTCCCTTCGCCAGCGACGGAGACCGAATACCGAAGGTCCAAGAACCACCTCCATGTCTTGACGAACTGTGTCCAGCCAGGTTTTGAACTGACTCCCTCTTCGACGCCTCCAATGGGGCAATGGTGCTGGATCGAGGGCAGTAACACTGAGCTCCTGAGGTGGACGACGAAGAACATGTCCAAACCACCTCAGTCGTCTTTCTTGGATGGCCTGAGTTATCCTTGAGATGTTGTCGCAGCGAGCGCGGACTGTCTCATTTGAGACGCAGTCGGTGAACTTCACTCGAAGGATGGTCCTCAAGCAGTGGTGATCAAATACCTCCAGTTTTCGCTCGTCCTCCATGCGCAAAGCCCAGCATTCACAACCGTAGAGAAAGACAGACCGGACAGATGCATGGTACACGAGAATCTTGGTGGCGATGAAGTGGTCACGTCGGTTCCACAGGCATTTCCGAAGACTTCAAAAAACCCAGCGGGCAGTATCGATTCGGGAGACGATGCCGTTCTTACTCTGTCCATTAGGTAGCAGCCTCGCCCCAAGGTATTTAAAACTGTCTACTTCTTCAAGTTGACAGCCATCAATCCCCCGGGGTGCCTTCTCCTGGTCAGGGATGCAGCTCGAGAACACTTTGGTCTTCCCAGCGTTTATGGACAAACCGATCGATTTAGCGACCTCGTTCACTCGTGACACCATAGACTGCAGATCACCAAAACTTGAAGCAAGTAAGGCGATATCATCGGCATAATCGAGATCAGTCAGCCGATGCCCGGGTGCAAATTCAAGGCCGTTACTCTCGCGTGGGGCCCTCCCGAGGATCCAGTCAATAGCGTAGTTGAACAGTATTGGTGACAGGATACAATCCTGTCGGACGCCAGACCGAATACTGAACGGTTGGGAAAGATCGTTGCGGACCAGGACTCTCGCAGTAGTGGAGCGATAGTAGGCCTTGATCATGGCGATGATTTTTGCCGGTACACCATCTAGCGCTATTATCCGCCACAGGGACTCACGGTGAACGGAATCGAACGAGGCGGCAAAGTCAATGAAGCTGACGGCTGTCGGTTGTTGGTAGCTATGGCGAAATTCGAGAATGCGCCTCAGTGTAAATATCTGGTCTGCGTATCCACGTCCAGCACAAAATCCGACTTGGTTGGGCCTCGTCCTTGAGTCACGCACAGCCTGGGATCGCCTGAGTAGGACAATAGCGAAGATCATCGCAGCAACGTCGATGAGACTTATGCCGCGGTAGTTCTCGCATCGCGTCTTATCTCCCTTCTTGAGGATAGGTACAAGGATGCCTAAGCCCCATTCATCAGGAACAACCTCGTCTTTCCACGCTTACTCAATCACCTCATGGAGCCAGGGCGCCACAGTGTCGACACAAGACCGTCCTCTCCGGGTGTCTTATTTTTGCGCAACTTTCGTATGGCATCGGCGACTTCCCCCTCGGAGGGGGGATCGCATGTCACTGCATAGGTAGGAGAGGGAAGAAACTCCGCTGAGGAGGAGAGCAAGGGCGAGGTAGTTTGGGTATCGAAGTTGAGATGGTGCTCAAAGTGTTCACGCCAGCGCTCGACTTTGGCCGAGTTGTCAGCAATAAAGCCGCCGTTCACATCGCGAACAGAGTCACTCAGTGTAGAGGGCTTACCGCTAACTTGGCGGATCAGATGGTAGAGCTTTCGAGTGTCACCAACGTTCGAGGCCTGTTCCATGGAGGTCGATATTTCAGCCCAATATTGCTTTCGGTCATCCCTGGCCGATTTTGCCGTCATCTTCCGAAATTGGCGGAAGTAGTCATCGTTGCGGGACCTGGCTCTAGCCGTCTGAGCAGACAACTGCAGGGTTCTTCCGCTGATCCAGTCACTGCGGCGTCGCTGGGTGTATCCAAGGATTTTCTCAGCTGCACCATAGACTGACGTTTTCAGTGACGACCGCTGATTACTGCCTGCCCCGTCCGCTCGGGTCGTAAACCAGGACCGGATTTCTCTTCTCAGGGCTTCGGCAGTGCTAGTTTGCCGGATTTTTGCGACATCGAGCCGTAAAGGACGTGGCATTTTGGGCGCAGATGAGATTTTAACTTTTAAGTGTGTACGAATGGGGACATGATCCGACCCATGGACGTTACCAGTCTCGGCACCACGCATCGATCTGCTATTATGAACCCAGCTGCGGAACCTTGGGCTGACTAGAATGTAGTCAATCTGACTGGCCGTATGACTGTCGTTTGAATACTAAATCAGATGTTTTTTACGATGCTGAAAACACGTGTTGTTGACAAGCAGTCGGTTCTGATTAGTAAAGTCCAGTAATCTTTCGCCATTGTCACAGCGAGGACCAAGTCCAAAGCGGCCAAACAGATAACTGGTTGTGGACTCGCCAGGTCCAGTTTGACCATTCCAATCGCCAACAACAATCAGCAGATCGCGGCGAGGCAGTCTTTCAACTAGCGCTTGCAACTGAGAGTAAAACGCCTCTTTATCGCGCTTTTCGGCAGTCGAAGTTGGTGCGTACACAGCGACTATGGAGATGTTCATGAAGTGACCCTTCACTCGCAACTAGGCCATCCGGTCATTGACTGGTTCCCAAGCAAGTAGCGCGATGTCCGCTTGTGGTGATAGGGCGATCGCCACACCGTTTCGACCAGAAGAATCGCGCGGGCCGCTGTGGTACAGGGTGAAGTGTGATTCGACTCCCAGGATCTCTATTTCACGGGAGCCTGAGTCAGGGAGTCGAATCTCCGACAGACAGCAGACATCCACGTTGTACTGATAAAGGCTGCGTGCGGTAAGACGTTGGGTACCAGGGTCCAGGAACGTTGGCACATTCCAGCATCCAATACCAAGAGTCCGTCCACGATTGAGTAGTCTAGCTCGCATACTTTTCGCCCGCACCACCAAACCAGGGTTGCGGAGCGCGTCGGTTCCCGCGGACGACGTAGCATGGGTCGTAATACTGTGATCGGATATGTTTCATGAGGTTTCTTGGGAATTTCGAATACGGGCGGTCCCCAACAGCCGCTCGGATTGTTTGTTCGAGGTTGTCTCCTCTAGTGCATTGGCTTAAAGACCTAACCACAAGGCAGCGGTGGCAAATAAACTTATTTAGTGGCGGTTTACGGTCGCCATGTCACAATGCCGTCATTGGGTTTTGCGGCTTTTTATAAGGCTTTAAGTGTGCCAGACCTCTGCCCACCGCACTCTGGTAGCAATGTCGTTGCTGGTCCGCGACTGCTTATTCGTCAGACCTGGGTCTGCTTATTTCGCAGCTAACCTTCACTGAAGGTCGTCCCACTATCCGTTACCTGTGCATGCCATATAGATTTGAAACCAAACGAAAGGGTACATACACAGATATTCGGAAGTGTGCTAAACATGCTACACCCTTATAATGCCAAACTATCCTACATATTCAAACACCAAATTAAAAGAGTACGTAGTCTCCACAAACATCGTAAAATAAGTGGAAGGTAGGTATATTCCCGTAAGCTACTAAAATCAATGTAAACGTACATACCGCCTAGGCAGGCACTTTTTAAGTTAAGACTAACACAGACAGTTACAAGGCTTCACGACCGGAAGTCGATATGCTACTATACACGAGAACTTGAGATTGCGTTCCATGCTAGCTACAATTGCAACCGTCCGTAAGTAATATCTCCCAATGGAGGGCATATTTGGCAATCTGAACCAGTGTTTTGGGAGTCCCACTCTCCACTCCAACTTTGATGAGTACCACTGCATGCCGGATAATTGCCAGAGTTCGTAAATAACATCGAGCGCAAAATGACTCCCATGTTCTCATAATCCATTTTTCTATTTGCTAAGTGTGGCTAAAGTACATTAAGCTGATTTTCACCTAGTGACTGTGAATTGGCAAAAGGTAATTGACTGTACAGGGGCAAACATATGGTTCGTAAGAGATACCTAGGCAGCTTGGGACAGAAAAACTCCAGACTAGATTTGTCTTTCGGTCGAACGTACTACGCTTACAGTAAACAGCCAAGCGGTGTCAAGATGGTAAAAAGCATGACGCTAGAGAACTCACTCTGACAGCTTTTCGCGTTTGCTCTCATCAAAAGTAAGGACTGGCAGGGTAACAATTAGACCCATACGCACAGCGATCTTAATCTGTTGTTCCTCGGTCAGCTGAGAGGCTCGAACCGAAAGTCCAGGGGCTGGATGCAGGATCGGATCATTTTCCTAATAAAGGAAGCGAAAGTATGCGGATGGTACTGACAAACCGTACAGAACAGACGTAAAAATAAATTCAGACAGCATGAGATCCTAGCATACAGAATTGATCCAAGACACTAGGGACGACAAGCAATCGCTGATAGAAGGGTTCTCTAAAATAAACTATTGAATGTGTTTGTATCCTTTCGAACAACGCAGATTGTTGAAAAGAAGGACATCAGAACGTCGGAACGGCATTGTATCAGTCTGAGAATTTCGATATGCAGATATTACGAAAAAACAATAACAAATGAGCAGTTTCATAGTGTCCCGCTGTGGCCAGAGTCATGCTGTTTGACTGGCCGTAGTCTCATGATGCGGCGGCAGTTACCGTCCCTGTCCGTAAACAGAATCAAATCATCTGTTAGTGGGCGCAGTGCAGGATAGTCGAGAGGTATATAAGTATGCCGGTTCATGGAAGGGCTGTCAGACCCAGGCCTCAGGCGGCCCGCCATTTCTAACTGCGAGCCCGAGGCACTATCAGTGTGCCCGCGAAGTCGGATTCGTGACCCTTTGCCGGGTAACGACTTGGGACAGCAGGTCATCCCTCCACACACCTTATTTGGGATCGCGTATTTGCGAATTGGGTTGTCGTGCGGTTCGGTTTGTGTAAATGCACAGCACAACCCTACACAGCTTTCCCCATATAGTCTATGGGATAAACTGAAAAGTTCCGTAGGCGTGGAGTTCACCAACAGAACCTCCATGCAGGATGAAATATATGATCATTGCTTTGCCCAAACGATGGCCTAAAGTTTTTTCCAGGCTCTTGATAACAGTGAGAAGTCAGAAGCTAAATTTGGTACTGAAAAATAGCAGAGAGGCTAAAAAGGTCATTTCCGACTCATTTGCCGGCACCAGCCAGACATGCCCGAGCCTCGGACGGAAAAGACATGATTAGGCTTAAAACGTAGTAATAGGCAACGAACAGAGCATTTTTCATGTGGTCTTGAAAATTGTTGCCCCCCAGCGACAAAGAGTCATTCCGTGCTCAAGTCCAAGGGCGTCTGGTTCAATAGATAGAGGAACCTGAATTAAAATCGCAGGTCTTTTCCGCTTGAGATTGAAATACAAGTGGATTATGACGATAAAATTGATGAGTTAACATTCCAGTCCCCGGAGTTCTTGATGCAATATTTCTTAAGTACTTTTTGCCTGTTCGTGTAACAATTTTGCGCGTTCGTGCATTTGCATTCAACTTTTATCATTTCTCGGAGGTTAAATGTCTAAATATCCGGGAATGGACGTTAGAGGGGAGCGATTCGCTATTCGCAGCAGGTCTCATCCACTTAATGAGTCCCAATAAACTTTAGGGAGTAGGCCGAATTCAAGGCTGCAGCAAAAGCTTCGACTATGTCTGGTAGAAAGAAACCTCGATGTCGGCTGATCACAGAGTTGGCAAAAAGCATCCGAATGACTTACCTTGTTGACCGATCTTTTTTAACCTACGTGTGATGGAGGAGGTGTGATAGTACAGCTACCGTACGTGGAACAAAGAATACCGTCGAGGAGCTCATGTGCATAATCCATTTCTTTTAAAGAGTGAGTCCCAATAGTTCAGTTGAGGGGTGGCAACGCGAAGCCCCTGTGTTGGTGGTGGTGGTGGTGATGGTGGTGGTGGTGGTGGTGGTGGTGGTGGTGGTGGTGGAAGAGGAGGAGGAGGACGACGAGGTGGAAGAAGAGTGGGAGATGCAGCAAAAGGTAGAGAGCGGAGTAGGAATACGAAAAAACATTGAGCCCCTTGTACGTTTTCGTGTCCATTACCGTCTCGTCTTAGTGAAAATACTAGAGTAAGCAATAAAGGTGCAGCGGTGAGCGTCACTTTCGTGTGAATTCCCATATTGCTAACTTCAGACAAGGGAGGATGAACCGTACAGTTAAGGTGGGGCGGTCGGCTTACATGTGTAACGGCGCACTGGGCTCGAATTGAAATTCCGGAAGAGCTCGTACCTGATGTTGGGGCACGGTGGACTAACAACAGCTAATAAGCCGGTGTCTTCCACCTTTATTTGCAATATTCAACGATTGGGAGAACACCTGTCTTTTTTCCTCAATAGCGGGTGTACAGCACCAGTAAACAACAATTTTACCACACCAGAAAAGTGAACGCACAGGCTGGTGTGTGTGCCTTACCTAGGTCATACAGCCTAGTTTCTCATCAAGTCTGTCGGGCTGTAAAGCATAGAATCAAACGCCCCACATCACAGTGGGATTGCGGACGCCGACGACGTAGCGTTGGCGTGGTGTACGATCAGGAGATTGCGGTCTGACGGATAGGGATATGCGCCCCACCCGATGTGTCGTTGTTAAAGCATCACAGTGACACCAGCCTTCAAAGCTGACCTCATCCAGGAGTCAAAATGGTGGTCTGTCCAATCCGTTATCACCATCAATATCGGTTTAAAATCTGTACCATTTAGTCTGCGTGTCACCGTGTATTAATTAACTGCGACGCAGTGGCTGCAAAAGCATCCTGATTATGAGTATCCTAGCCAGTGTCATCGTGGCAAACCTTTGGAAGAGACATTTGCCGGCAAGTGCATGATACAATTATAGTATTAAAAGACTATCTGTCGAGCATTAGATGTGCGATGGGAACAAGACAAGCAAAAAAGAACCTCCCGTGTGCATGCTACCTGGAGGGGGGGACCAGAAACTTCACGGTAGCTACCGCAGGTCTCACTTCGAAATAAGGTTAAAGTAGGCCGATTCACGAGTCACCGGCCGAGTCTTCGGAAAAAAACAATTGACAGCGAGAAGAGTATGGCACCTTACATGCAAATCTGGTTGTCTTATATACAAGACATCGACAAAATCTACGGCTTCGTACGAAATGGATGAGCTATTCTGCATGAACGTTAGGCGTTACTGTCTAAATTATATGAGAGTTGCCGCAAAAAAACAGTTGGAAACGAAAGCTTACGCGTTAATAAGAGGCAGGTTTTCCACGTAACGTACGAAGTACTCCCTTACTTAAGAGGTATTCTATAGTTGTTATGTTGGAAAGAGTAATATAAAGGGGAAATCCAGAAAATGCAATCGAACGGTGTTCAAAGTTACGAGCGGTAATGCAGGAAACCTTTCAGGACTTCATCAAATCCCCTTAAGCAGTGTTGTCCGTTGTAAGTGCTTCCACCTCCTTCTTCAATCGACATTCATTCGCACTGAATGCCGCTGTTCTGCAACTAGCTTGAGGTTTACGACTTCTTTGGTTTCATTAAAATTTGCGATATTAAACCAGTACTTTTCGTCTGAGCATTTCGGAAGCACAGGGATTTGAATTGGCACATAAGTTGCAGATGCTACTGTAACGCATAGTGAACACCATACGAGGCGAGCATACACCCCTTACAAGCCAATTACTCATTTGGAAAAGCTTGTATCATGTTTCCCTTATACTGACTTCCATATACAAAAACTGGATAGCAACGTTACCAGGTACCACTGGCGAGCAGCGAGTCTAGCATTTCCAGACGATGACCTAGCCGGACGATCTGAGGCAGCAGAACGATGCCTACTGTGATTTCGTCTAAGACAATTTCCCATTCATAGGCTACCGCACAAATAGGCTAATGCGCCAGCTAATCCTTTAATGAGACGCGGGCCGCAATTGTGAATTCAAACTTAAAGGTCAGACGTCAGATGTAATCAACTCGGACCCCATCAGTGGGATCGCCGACTACCAAATAGTATTTAGTCTGTTGACAAGAGATTGCAATACAAGAAAATTTTGCTAAACATTAAAGTGACTAATGAAACTCAAGAAAGGAGATGGTTAGAGCTTGCACGGCAAATTAACAAAATCTCGCATAATTACACCACAGAAATAAGATAAAACCAGGAGGCTCAACAGGGGCCTCATCGATAAAATAACAGGCAAAAGCATAAAACATCACTTTCCTGCATAACTTGGGTATAAATGAAACGCGCAGGAATAACTTATAGCTGCCGTTACATGAGTATTCCATATTGGTGTCTTAACTTTTTCGACTTAACCTGTCTGTACTTCTGACTAAATGCGCAAAGAAATACATGCAAAAACCATTTTCGACCTGTTACGCGCATGTTCTGATTTCGTCACTACTTTGCGTTGATGGTTTACAGAATCACAAGCTCAAAACCGATCTGAGTTTGCATGCTCAGACGCGTCTCTTCGGGTTTGGATTCGCAGCTGGAGCAATCATTATTGACTAAGGTCAGCCTGGAATTATTTGGTGTTGTCCAGAGGACTCCTGTTTTCTAGATTCAAGACCAAGTCTCGCAGCTCAATGTTCAAAAATAAGTGAAGCTTTGCTTTCACCTCGAAATTAATTGGCAATTATTTTGTATTTCTTTTAACCCTTTTTCAAGAAAATTTTTTTATGGTCACATCATTTTTCGCCGCCTCATTAAAAAATCTAATATATTAGTTGCATTTTGCTCGACACTTGTGCTTCAAAGCTTGCCTGACTGTCTTTTTCTATTGACACATTCAATTAAGTCTAGTATTATTCCAGCATGTGAACACAAGCATAAACAATATCGGAAAAAACTGTATAACGGGAAACAGTCAGCGAGTGTAGGAACGATTTCGGCCCGTTGGTCAGACAATTACTGATCTAAGTTATACACTCAGTTCAGTTAAGTTTATTAAGGGAAATTGACGTAAGCCTTTGAGCGTCTATTTGCAACGTAAAAATGTGTGGTGTACAAAAAACGTTTCCGGGTTAAATAGTTCAAACGAGCCCTTAATGGTAGAACAAAATGGAAGTAAGTCACGGGGGATATGCTCGATCTCTCATCATTCCTGATCATTTCGGAATAAAAATATGTGAAGGTCCTTTTTAAAGCTTTTTTTAGATGGTGACACCACAACATCTGCAGAGAAGGTATTCCATGGCTTGGCCACTCCAACAGAGAAGGAGAACTTCCGCTCATCCAGCCTTGCCTTTTGAGTGCGCAGTTTAAACGGTTGATCTCGGAATTTGGCCGTGGTAGCAAATTCAAAAAGTCGTAGAAGGCCCGGCTGCAATCCAACCCCTTTATAATGCGAAATGCTTGCATGACATCCCCGCGAAGTTACCTGTAACGCAAAGGGAAGAGGTTCAGATTTACTAGATGGGTTGCATAAGGAAAGGAGCTTTGACCCGTAACCATCTTCATGACAAAAGAAAACAAACGAGCATCCACAGTTGATAAACCGAAAACCTCAAATCGCCTTTCAGAGAAATAATGAGATGCGGAGACGTTGTCGGCTATCGGAGAGTTCTGAACACTAGAAGAAATGCAAACGAGACAAGTAGACTTTGAAAGATCTGTGGGCTTAGCATTCTGCTGAACTAATTGGTTCCTTCCAAGATTCTACGCTGTTTTGATATGTAATGGCAAAACAAATCGCGACCCGTTTCCGGCGCTGAGGTCCCAAACTGGAGTAAATAAGAAGGATGAATAAACTAAAGTCTCAGTCCTCTCTAGCTTCTTACAATCGGTCTTAATTCATGAAAAATATCCTTCTCTCTCTGTTATCTAGAACGACAAAAAATTCTGTAGCGGTCGAGGACGTCAAGGATAGCACGCAACCACGTAACGGAATATCGATAAAGAGATCCTGGATTGTGTTGATCTGAATACGATTGTTAGCAGTTCACAAACTCATCCATACATAAAGGAAGAAGAAGCGATCAGCGGACGGAAGATATAATAAACAGAAAAGGGAATTGGAAAGATGTATAATGACAGTTAAAAGTACAAACGGGATGAGTTACAACAGTCGAGTGACCTGTCTGGATGGAGAGGCGAGGCCAACATGCCAGCTGGAAAACCGGTGGGGAGCGCAGCGCTGGGGACAACTGCAGGGAAGGGCCGAGGGGGTTGCCGATGTAGTGAGGGAAGCGGTACGAACGTTACGTCACGATACGGAGCGGGAGAAGGGATCGGCGGAAGAGAGTGGAAGGGACACCGGTCATCTTCACCAACATGCGGCTACGCCATCTCCATCCTAGGTCCGCGCGCCAAAAAGTGTCACGGCATTCAAACAACCCTGTACAGATCACGGGACGTTACAATTCTTCATCGTTTGAATCAGAAGATAATCTTTACTCATTCCCTACCTCGGTAAGGACAGAAGTACTCCGATCGAAGCCTACCAAGTTCACCTGCTCTTAAAAGATTGACCGGTATCTGTGATAGTAAAAAAGCCCATGGAAAAAATAAACTGCCAGAAGGATGAATAATTGTCTTTATTTCCCCAATCTACAAAAAAATTCTTGTCTGGTGTCCGAAACTTACCGTTCCGTTATTTTAAAATACTTTTTGTGCAAGGTCAAGGAACGACTGATAAAGGCGCATTCTGGAGTACCTGGAGCAGAGGAACCTAATTTGTGCTGTTCAGAACCAATTTAATTGTAGTCACCCACTTAGTACAAGTAATCTTTTCTCGCAGGAATTACAAACGCCTGACAAACGCCACAGGCCAGAGTCACCCAGTGGGAGGCATCTTTGTCGGCTTTTAAAAGGCGTTTAATAGCATGCCTTGTCGGCGACTCTTACATAATATTTGGCAGCGTAGAACCGAGGGCAACATTCCCAAGTGGATAAAATTTTCGTTTCATGCAGGCTGCAAAAGGTGACTATCCGTGTCATTGTATCCGAATGTGAACACGTAGGAAGCGATGTTCCAGAGAGTTCGGCTTCGCGTTCTCTCCTCTTCTCTATCTGTAGAAACCACCGTACTGAAGACCTTGACTTGGACGCATGATCCGCCAATTGCTTTCTAACCTCTGATGTATCGTAGTGTGAAGTCATGCAACTGGAAGCAGATCTGAAACATTTTTCCTTACGCCAGTACGTCAAGAGTGGTAAACAACCAATTGAAGCGCATGTGCGCAAAGATCTAGTATGCAGACATATTCAAACTTGATGAGATCCTACAACTACAGCATGGCCGTCCAGAAGACAAAAAACACCATGCACTGGATAAGGAGTGCTTTTGTGGACTTTAATTCCGACCTCTTCCAGTCGATCTTTGGTATGGTCGTGAGGCCGTATGTAAAATATAGAGTGTCTGCATGGATGCTTGAAGGAAACAACGCAGTAACCCTGTCAAGCAGGCTCAGTGACGGCCAGAAACTGGGGGACAGTCTTAGAAAGTCGTCACATCTAGAAAGAGTGACCGGACTCAAATCGCTCCCCCTACTCTACAGACAAATGAAGTGCAACCTGCAGTGGACATTTTACATTGCCTATAAATGCGGCTATTCGCCCGAGTCTAAAGATGACGAGTTATAAATATGAATAAAGTGCGCAGTCTTCCGTATAAGGTCAAACGAAACGTACCCGCTTTCAGTCTGCGGATATTTCGGCCGCGAAAATCCCTCCAGAGTGAAGTAGTGACATCTGATATAAGCGTTTTGTTCACAAAGCAGCTGGGTTGTTTTATATTTGATTAACGAAGACTCCCACTGCAGGAGTGCTTGCGATCAAACATGGAATTCAGTATTTAGTCTCATTTCCTACGTAATCCATCCCTGCATGTTTGAGGAAAACTGTTCCTCTATATTTTACAAATGAATATATTTTTGTCGTGATGTTTATACTAGCATTTGTAAACTCATTTGTCCATGAAACGCTTCAGCGGCTCCGTCGGCCATTCTCAAATACATACATACATACATTAGACTTTTTTTAACCAACCCTGAGGAAGTCTCCTATGTCCTTGTCAGTAATACCATTCTGCCTATATTATGCGTCGCTGTGCGGCTGCTGGTTGGGCTCGAGAGAGAGCCATTAAGGCGCAACGGAAGGAATGGGTTCCGCAAGAACGGTCGGTGAGCGCACCACTCTACCATTAGATCTGCTGTGCTAAACATTTTACTGTTATTGACATTCTGGTCTGTGGGAAGCAAGAAAAAATTGTATCTCACAGTATAATGCCGCGAAAGGGACTTGCAGAAGACGGAAGCTCGTAGCCTCCCGTCCACCTCTGACTTCTGGAATCAAGACCGGAAAAAAGCGGGCGCCTAAGTACCTTAACAGACTTCTCGAGATAGGGTTAACTCTGAAATTCCTTTGGTCCATATTATACTTCCTGACCCTTTGTTCGCTCAAGAACACGTCTCTGCTTGAGGTAACAGAACTTTGTCTGACGAAATATTAAATTAATAAATATATGTGGAAATACGACGAATACTTCCGACAGAGTCATCAAACAAGTTTAAGAGGCGATGAGGCAAGATGCTTCGAAGCTGAGGACCGTATAGAACGCGAATGTGGGCTTTTGTCTCCGTGAAGTCGTTAATTGGGTTTCAGAGTCGCACGTACTAAACGATTGCGCTCGCTCAGTCACAACGCATCTTTATTAGTTACCAAGTCCACCAAGTCTCGACGTTCTGACAGTCTACCGACCGCCGAGAAGTGATCCCGCGGCGGGCGCTCGCCTGATTGAGGCCCTGGAAAGATTCTCTATTCGGTCCGAAGTCTTAATCATAGGAAACTTTAATGCACCTTTTAACGACTGGAGTCCGGCTTAGGCATCTAGTCCAGATCATACTTTTGACCGAAGTTTGCTG